TCCCCTTAAAAAAGTTAACACGTACCGCATCTTTTTAATCTCTAAAATATTCGTTTACGACAGAACCCTTTTTGTTTCCTTGCTTGGAAAGGAAATCTAATAGGTTTACAAGAAAGACAACGAAGACTCTTTAGCATCTTCTGTGACAGCTGTTAAGAATGGTATTGTTCCTTATTTCTCCTACAAAAGCAGCCTAGCAAACTAATAACATTGCAGTTTTTACGCTTCTTACCGTATGAAACTCCAGCCTTCTTGAACAGCATTTATAAACTTCTGGCTACCTGGTAACTCACGTCCTATCCCGAACATCCTATTTGTTCGTTAAAACTTTCACTAAGTTTGTGTTGCTTGTGAAGTAGTTTAGTTTTTAGAACTTGCTGTTTCAAAGAACTCTTATTTATAAGCTGGAAGCACTTTTTACTTTTCATCTCAGATATCCATCTGACCATTATCTAAAGTTTAAAATTTCTTTGAATTAGTTGGAATGAGGTTAAAATTGTAGACAACAATCATAATATACTTCTAAAAAGTTAACATTTGAAAAGTAAGGAAAAAATATTTTGGCTTGGTAGGATTTATGCAAAACACGAAGAACGAGAGCAAGGTTTGATAAGTGTAATAATACACTTGATCTAAAAAGTATCACATGCAACTATCCATTACATGGCAATATTCTCATCAAATTATTCTTTATGACTGTGCAGCAAAATTACTTGCGTGAATTACTTCACAAGACCATAAGTTAGCGCAAGCGATAATACCGGTATAATTTCCTTCAAAAAAAATTTTCGTTCATCAAAGAGCATGATTTGTCACGTAAAGGTTACATGATGAACATTTATTGTAATTCATCGCACAACAACAGTAAAACTCCAAGAAAAAATCAATAAAAGTATTTTAATAACAGTAAACTTGTTATTAGCTAAAATGATCAAAATTTTTGTTAACTGAATACGAAGTTTGTCTTAGATATAAAATTTAAATTTCCAAAAAAATTTTTTTTCAAAAATTATGAACAATTTTCAGCGACTGAGGGATTGTCAGCTACAAGCAACGATCATTTTTTGAACCACCAAGTTCATTTCTGTACTTAAAAAGATACCCTCCCACCATTTGTTACCCACGACACAGATTACAGTTAAGATTGAGAAGTTATAGTTCAATTAAAAACGTACTCGAACATAACTGATTGTTGGTGGTACATAGACCCATCCGAGATTGTAATAACACCATGAAGATGTGATAAGTGTACAGAAAATAAGCAGCACAGATGACAAAGACATTAAAACAGCTTAAGGCCTCTTCACTTTTACTGAAAAAACGTTTCTCTAAAAAATTCTAAAAAGTAGTTTGTCAAGACTGTATGCTTATATACATCTAGAAATCTATAAAATACATTTAGGTTGAAACTGAAGTATACCAAAAACACAAAATGAAAAATATTTGCATTTCAAAAAGTTAAAGCCGTTTTGTTAAATCAGTGCCCCATATTGTTTTAATATTGCATATAACGAACTTTGACTTTAAGGCAAATTTTCTGTTGTCCACTACAATCAAAAAAGATTTTACAGTAAAAAAAAGTTATAGAACTAAAGATGAAGTTTAATAAAAGAAAAAAAAACTAAAATTTAAAAGCGATGCGTACCTTTAGTGACCAAATGAGAGGGTAAGTTTTTTGGCAAACAAGCGCTAAGGATCACTGTCAGTTTAAGAGTTAAGCCGCAACTTAACTGTTGTGAAATAGATTAAAGTAATTACAAAATAATAATCTAAACAAATCAGTGAAAAATTAAACAACTGTCGCAAAAAGAAAATTTCAAGTGAAACGAGTAATACATAAAGCGTATCAAAAAGTGTTAAATTAATGTTCCAAAAACAACTCTCGTTTTTAATTTCAAAACCGGTTGCATCTTCAATGAATTTTTCAGTTCATAAATGCTAGTTTTGGTTTAAAAAGCCAGATAATTCTTATTTACATTGCTGACTTTGTTATTAAAATTCCGTTATATTTCATGAGGTTTCTGAAAATACTTCGTTCAGATTGGACAATCTGACGAAAGAACATTACTGGTCCAACTCGCTACAACAGCTTCATCTGTCGACATTCCTCAGACAATGTTAACTCTATTCAGCATCCGGGCCATTCCTTTCCGCTGCTATCAAGACCGAAAAACTGCACAAAAGCGATACCCAAGTTCTTTCCTAATTATAAACTGTTCCTGAAATATTTAAAAATATAAGGTCTTATAGAAATAATTTCCTGTCCAATTTTTTTACTACAAGTGGCTGTTTAAATATTAAGGATTCTCCTTAGCTGTAGAAGAGTCCTTACCGCGCTTTCACGATTAGTGGTAATGAAAAGTCTTCAAAGTTCTATGCACTAACAATCGCAACCAGTCTTCTATAGAGAGACCGCGAACCGACTTGGGTACATGCGTAATTCCGAATTATAAAAAGCACGGTTTGACCAAAAAATTAGGACGCTGTGACAACTGATCTTAGCTTCAAATTTTAGAACTAGTTTAGATTATAAAGCCAAAATTTAATCACTCCGGAGACAGAATTGAAGGTCTTAGTTAAAATACAGCGTCAGATCCTTCGCGTAGCTCCTGTCGCAAGAAATGCAAGTGTTCAATACCAAAAAGTTTGATTCGGTGAAAAATGAAGTGTGAAAGTGGACATGACATGACTGTATAGGGAACATGTTGGCACAGTATTTTTAAAAGTGACGAGAACTCTTTAGCGAAAATTATGAAGCTGGTAACGAACGTGTCCAATAGATGCAGAGGATCTCGTTAAGGCAGTTAACTGAGAGAATAAAAAGCCGTATGAGAATGCAAAATATCTGTTAGAAAATTATTGAACAGGGTTTAATTGACATCATCAGATGACAATGAAGACTTATTTGGCAATACTTCCGCTCATATTGTAATGTATCACAATGATTTTTGCACACATCGAGTGCTGGAGAAGGACTACAGTTTTCTCGTAATGAAACTAGGACGATACTGTAAGTTTTGTAATTATTGCAAATGCTACGAAAAAGAAACATGCGGAAGGGCTAAAAAACTCTTTTAAGGTCTCGCTGCCTCCAATTTTCAGTTTGACTTCTACTACATGTGAGACTGTAAAGGAAAAGCCCGATAATGAGTTTGTTCAATCCCCTACCTCTCCAATTTTGATTTCTTGCACCTTCTTCTTCGCCAACAAACTATAAATTCAAAACGATGTTTATCTTTCCCAGGGTATTCTCTGCAAATGCAGTTCAATCAGACATGTAGTTAGACTGACCATTCAATCTTGAACAAATTTATTCTTCACCCTTTCTTTTTTCAAACATAATTTTGTGAATTCTCACTGTTAAAAAGTTTTTTCAACTAAAAATTACCAAACCAGAATGAAAGAAAAATTGAAGGTGGAATTTTAACCGCGAAGAAGCAGCAAAAAATTTGCTAAACTGACTGGTTGTTCTCCCCACTGCCAGATCTCTGGTACACAGTACCTGTGGACATAATTACAAAGTATAATAATCAGAAATGAATTTCCTACTACCTTACCTCATTATACCTCTCACCTTAATCAGACCTCAAGCTTATATTAAAAACTTGGTGACCAAAATTCTAGGTAGAAAACTTTAATAATTAGAACGGAAAAGCCTTTTCCAGCAAAAAAAGTCGCTGGTAGCAAAAAACACCACCCACAAAGCAACGACCTTTGAAGGAAAAAACCCGTTCACTCAAACATTTTATTAAAAGAAAACAAGACAAAACTTTGCCTTAAACAATTCATCAAATTCGTAGTTTTTTATTTACCCCCAAATGGTACCGAGGAAAACACTAAAAACAACAAACATAGAGAGTTGCACCTCACATATCTCAATTAAAGTGACTGCTTTCAAAGACAAGTTATACCTCTTTTCTTTCGAGAAGCGATAATAACTAGATTTCAACACCAAATATCAAATCAACCAGGTACTCAAGTTGAACAACAGTACTTTGCTAACGAATACTCAAGAACCACCTAACAATACACCAGACAAAACTTTTAAAATTGAAAGAACAACAAATGTTCCGGGAGACCCTCGTGATGATAATAGCTATAAACTGTAGATTCCCCATCCGTAGTTCAGGAGCCTTACGTTTGAAAGGCTTGACAAACTACGCCCTTTCCTCTCCAAACCTACACTCTTCCTAAAAATGCAAGATACCTCATTTCCTATATTTCTTTTCCTTTCCATATAATAAACCTAAAAGGAGCTAATTTTGCTGCCCCAAGCAACTGCACAGTATAGCTTGCGGCCAAAATATCAAACTCACTGCTTCCATGCAAAATTAGAGGAATTTCAAAATGCAACTTCACTAATAAACTTTGACAAAACCTAAACTCAGAATGTCTCTCATTTCCAAAAAAGCGAAGCAGATGGAACTAATCAAATGAAAACTTCTACGCTTTCAACAAAATCAGTAAAGTAAAATAATTTATCGAATTACCTTCATTTAATCTATCAAACTCGCGGAAGAAATTAAAAAGAAATAAATAATAAAGGACTGACAATTCTGTGCCGCACAGTGACGCCAAAAAAAAAAAACGCTTTCAACAAAGTAACAATTGATATTGCAGTGTATAATTGCAACAAACAATTTTTTCTCAGTTATCTACTTCTTCTTCTTTGGAATATTCTGGAAGGGTTTTGTGCTAACAACATCGTATTTTGTCTGGCTGATTCCCGATATGACGAACAGGAAGAAGACAGAGAACAAAAAACACACCTGAAAAATGAAAAGCTTCTAAAATTCTTCATCCTCGACTTATTCAAATTTGGGTTTAAACAGTAAAGAATTTTTTTCAAATATTGAAATCAGGCCTAAGAGTAAATACGAAATTCAGATGTAAGTCCTCCAGAAATAGCAGCGTTTAAGTGGCAAACGAATAAACGATTTTGATGTCACACTCTCAAAAGAATAGAGCGATTCAAATGATCCAATGCCAAAATCTCAATCCTAACTCCAGGAAGCATCAGTTACCGTTACAGCGACGCGATGTATCGAAGCAGACACTAATAAGGAAATTATTAGTGCAACCGACACTTCAGCTAGTCCAGCTTTCGCTTGAGACCCCAAAAAGGCCATTTCCAGGTTTGAAAGTGCTGTGAGCAGAAACACAAAAACAACAGAACTTAAACCACCAGCAATAATCGTGCCAAGCCGAGTTGCAATCAAATCACTCTAAAAATTCAAAAACATAGAAGAACCATGCAAAAATTTAGGTAAAGAAGCTAATGAGGTATTAAAGAAGAAAAATCAAGTGTAAAAGCTATCATATCAACCTCAAAAAATACACAAATTTGGAAAAAAAACCTCAGTATATTGATGTTTTACCACAATAACCCTCGATATCGTTGAAAAAAGTGAAGTAATTGAACAAAACGATATAGAAAATAAAAAATTTCATGAATGACCAGTGATTAAATTATCTTTTCAAAATTACTATGAATGAAGTTAGATTATTAATTATTTAACAGGATCTGTAAACCCATGAATGATCTAAAAATAATCTGAAAAAAAAAATCAACCAACTTTGATTAACTGTCCAAAAGCGATACCGATAACAGCAATTAAGAAAGAAACCACAGCACTTCCAGCAAAGTTTGACATTTTAGACTATCCAAATCTGAAGAGTACATATACAATATACAGTTTTTTATATTCATTTTTCTGTACCAAATATTAAACATTATTTGAAAGACCAAAAAAAATAGAAATTACGGGTTAACCGGCACCCTTCCACGAACGAACACAATTTCTTAGGTATAGCTGGCGTTTACCTGGCCCTTGGAAGAACAATTTTAAATCTCTTTTTAAAAAATTAGACTAATAAGTAACATTGATAGCACCAACCCACCTAATTTCCATAACCCAACTAGACTAAAGCAGTCCTGCAAAAATTCCCTTTGAATTCAACATATCAGTAAAGCTATCGGTTTGACAAGTCTTTAAATTTTGTCTAACATTTAGTCAAAATGGTGCCAAAAGCAACTAATTAGTACAAGACAAATATAACAGTTGTAAAAAGCATAATAGAAAACTGCTGTGTATTTTAAACGCCACGACATTAGAATGAAATACACCAGCAATAAGACAGCGGAAAAACACATCCGTGCCCGACTAGCATCATCAATGGTTACAACTAAGACCGCAACGAACTTCCTGGCTTATTGCCAGTTACAGCTACCAAAAATTTTTTTTTTTTCTTGTTCACTGCACTTCTTCCTCTTTATTATCGCACGAAGAATTCTGAAGCCTTGTTTAGTCATTTAGAATTAGAATGTTATGCCAGAAGATGTGTGGTTCTGCGATGGTATAGTTTGCTATTTATATGCTGAAAGATATGCTGCATGAACATATAGTTAAGAGGCTACGAGGCCACAGCTTTTGAAGCTTTTTTTTTCACTCATTGAGCAGGAGGTTAAATTTTGACACAGAATAATGGTAAATGATTTTTATAATTAATTTATTTTTTCTTTTTCAAGATTCTGATTCTCACGGTTCTATATTTATTATAGCTTTAGATTTGTTTTTCCGGAGATGTGATTTTGAGTCGTATAAAAAGCTGAAATTTTATCTATGAAACTGAATGCTTTTTTTGTTATTAGTTTTTACATGGACTGTTTAACATTATTCTTCGGCCTTCCTTGCCTAATTTTCTCTCCATATTTACCGAATAAAAAGCTTTCATTGTGTACTCAGTAGTACTTTATACAAATATAGTGGGAAATTTTTTAAAGTAATCTGCAGAAAAACTTGATGATTAATATTGATGACGGGATAAACCATTTAGTTAATTTGATGTCAGAACACTTAGAGAGTCATTGAGCTAAGTCGTTGACTTATTTTTTCTTACGAGTATTGTAAACCGTACAATCGACCTACAAGTAACTTTTGGCTGACTAATTAGTTTATAAGAGAAGTTCTCTCAACAGTACACTACTAATATAACTTTCAGTTTTTTGTTTAAATTAATCAAGTTTAGGAGCGGGACTTATTGTTCTTAATTGTGAAGTTTTATTCGTATTTTTTGGCTAATTTTTTTTGTGACTTCGACTCTGTTCTGCTAACATTACACAAGAATCAGTTATACAATTATCTTACAGAAGCTTTGCAGAAAAAATATGTTGGGTCCGAAATTGTCGGAGCTTGTGCCTTTGGCTGTCTATGGCCAGTTTCGTGGGTTTGCAACACTGAAAGATATTTCAGTAAGGTTGAAGTCCATTAAAAATATCCAGAAAATTACAAAAAGTATGAAGATGGTTTCGGCTGCAAAGTATGCAAAAGCTGAGAGGGACCTCAAGGTTATCTTCCCTTTTTTTTAGCTTTTTAGTATTTCTAGACATTTTCATTTAATCTGGTATTGCGTTATATTCTCGTTGCTATGTTTGTTTTAATACTTTTTCATTTTAAGATCATTTGATTTGCAAAATTGAAGGCTTTCACGTAGTAAACTTTACTGTTACTTCAAGTAAGTAAAATTCCACAATATTTCAAGGGTGCAAGAGCTTATGGAGTTGGAGCGCAATGTTTCTTCCAAAATGTTGGTGCTGATGAAAAAACTGGCGAGAAACGCAAGCACTTGTTGGTTTTAATGACATCGGATAGGGGGCTCTGCGGTGCAGTTCACAGTGCAATTGCAAAGGTTGCCAAACATTACTGTTGAGTGTAGTAGCTTCTGTTACTTTTCTGCTACTCTGATCTTTCATTTCTCTTCTGACTTCTCGCTTTGAGTTACACGTGTTTCATTCAAGGAAGCAAGACATATCTTGAATTCGAAGCCAGCTGATGTTGAGTACAAACTTGTACTGATTGGTGATAAGGCAAAAGCAGCTTTGTCTCGGCAATACGCGAAGGATATTCTCTTTACATGTAATGAAATTGGCAAGCACCCGCCTAGTTTTGCTGACGCTTCTGTTGCCGCGAGTGCAATTCTTGACTGTGGCTATCAGTTCGAAACAGTTAGTTATAAAATGGGTTTTTAAATTTTTGGACTTTGATTGCTGTTTTCTATAAAATGAAGGTAGCCGTTTATGACTTTCTACATCTGTCGCGGTTTCTGCTTGAAGCTGTTGGGTTTTCAAAAATTTATTTATTTTAACTCAAAAAGGTTTATTTTGAAAATCATGTTTGGTTTCTTGAAGCTTTAAATATCCCACTCAAAAACTTACGTAATGAAGACTGCTTTGAACCTTTTGCTTCAGGGTCATATAATTTACAATAGGTTTAAAACGGTCGTATCATACGAAACTTCGAAGTTACAGATAATGCCTTTGGAAGCTATCAAGGTCTGTTGTAATACTTTTCGGTTACTAGTTTTTTATTTAAATTTATTTCTAACTTGCTATATTTGTCAGATTCATCTGGGTAAAATAAGCTTTCTTTTCAGGGTTTAGAAAAGCTTGCAGTATACGACTCATTGGATGACGATGTTCTACTTAGTTACTCGGAATATTCTTTGGCCCAACTGATCTTTTACGCTATGAAAGAGTCAGCTACATCTGAACAGAGCTCGAGAATGACAGCTATGGAGGGTGCAACCAAAAATGCAGGTTGGTTAAGTTTTTATTTAGAAGTCACGTTCTTAGGGGAAGCGAAAAGATGGTGCAATTTTTTAATTTTAACATTTTATTTAGTTACCATTAACTTGGATCATTTCAAATCGAGCTGTCGCGCAAATTAAGCACGTCATTTTTAACTTAAAATTTCTAAAAAAACTTCAGGTGAGATGATTGACAAGCTCACTATGCAGTTCAACAGGACGCGACAAGCAGTAATCACGCGAGAGCTTATTGAAATTATTTCTGGAGCTGCAGCCGTTTAGTCATCATAGTGAGTGTTCCACGATGTGATTAGGCACTGGCTGTTTGTAGGAATTTTTGTATTGTTTTACTTCTGTCCTAAATAGTTTTAGCTATATAGTCCTTTATTAATGAAATTATGTAGGTAGCTGGAATTTCCGCATTGGTAAAATTTTTTCCTGGAAAAATTTATTAGAAAATTCCTTGTACTGCTGCAACTTGCTTCTTTCTCGAGATTTCCATTGGGGGTAATTCTCTATATCATAGGGGACCATTATCAGTTTTTACGTTTCTTGACAATGTTGGAGCACACAAACTTTGCAACATTTTTTCTCGCTCATTTCGGACCGTGTATTCAGCATTTTAGGGATTCGAGGTTCTTTATAAGTTGTAGTTTCATCTACTGCCGTAGTTGAAGTGATGATAAATGGTATAAACTTTTGACGAAATTGTTACGTTTTAAGACCTGTTATCATTTATTTCAAAGTGGCATTTGTTGTTTAATATACGTTTCCAACATGGGAAGTATTTTTTCATACTTGTGTTGGTTTTGAGGTTCAAGGCAACGTAATAAAATTCCCTTCCGTTTCAGAGAATTATTCAGCCGTGGATATCAAGAGAGAATATGAATAGTCGTATGCTTAAGGATATCCTTTTTGTCTTTTTAATTGACAACCGAATAGTAAATTTGAGACTACATTATTGTTTGGTTTACTCGCTTTGAATTTTTTCATCTGACTTAAACTTTAATTCTTAGACAGTAGTCGGCACATGTAACAGCCGCTACATTGTTATAGTCATCGGAGTAGAGCCTAAGTCTAGCGCAAATGCGATAGGTGCTCGGGTTATTCGTCTGACCGTATACTGACCTTGCTTCGCAGCCTTTGTAATTATTTTTTTGCTTCTGCAAGAATATAAGCTTTATTTAGCTAGTAATTACTAGCAGGGGTCTCTTCAGTGGCAGCAAACTGACCGCAGTGGACAACAGATATCGGTATTTTCTAAGGCTTACAATAAGACTTGGTATGTTTAGGCTGGATCTGATAGCACTAGGTGACTACGCTTCCGTTAAAACGGCATAGTTCTGGCCTGAACGAGAATGTTTTAAATTAGTTGTTTTCAACAAATTATTTTCACTCCACTTCTCAAAGGATTTAAAGACTCAATGGTAATAAAGCGAAACCGCGTCTTCACTGTTGGATTGCTACCATTAATTTTCTAATAATGGCCATTTTCGTATATCGGGCATTCGGAACAATTGGAATGAACGACTCAGCTTAAATTCACAAGATTTTTGTTTTCCACTCGTATAATATAAATTATTTGATTATTAACAGTATTAGATCTTGCTCAGTAGATGGTGCTTAAGCCGTAATACACTTTTCTGTTTGCTTAAGCAATATGGGAGTGCCAGCATACCATACTGGTGTTGGTCCTTATGAGTTTGAGAAGACGGTGCGTGAGATCCAAGAACCCGAGATCTCTAACTAGAAAGCTTTTCCCGCCAAAAGAAGTTGAGTCAAGACTGCAAAAGGAACATTACAGAAATGAGGAGCATTAGGCAGACGCGATAAAGGGAGGATTTTGAGGAGCGCAGTCTGGAAGCCAGATCAAGTTTTAGACCGGTCTTTTCCCCGCTACCGTATGGCAGCACGGCGTTTGCTAAATGTATTATACTTGAAATTCTGCCAGGAATCTTAGCAAGATTCAAATTTTAAAACATTTTAGTGCCGGAACGGTGAAGGAGCCTGGAAATTAAGAGTTCGATGTGTTCGTTTTTGAAGTTCCAACTTAGGGGTTGTTTTTTAAGTAACGTGTTCGATTCAAACTGTGATTTCTGTAGCAGTAAATCACTTTCATTTTCCATAACTAGATTGTCGGTTGCTTCGAACTCACTTAGTAGAGTCTTAGAAAGTTTTATGTGTATCTTATTTGTTGAAGTCTGACCTTCCGTTTCATAACTTATTTGCCATTAATAACACTGCTTTATGGAAATGTTGCATGAGCTTCTGTAGTTTTTTTCCGAATATTAGCTGGACTCTGTTATTTATTGTGTGATTTTCCTGCTTTAATGACCCCAATTATCTATCTCAATAAGAACCAGTAGTGTGGTGGGAAGTTGATAGCATTAAGTCACCCTCCATTTCGACAGTGTATTGTTTACGTTTCAGATACTCTGCCTGCTTATAAATGAAGAAATAAAAAGCAGTACACATAACTTGTGATGGACTTCAAAATTTTAACATTTTTTTGAGCTTTTGAAACACAGGAATCTTTCGTTACAAAACAACTACCTATCGATTCGACGTGATTTCACCTGGAATAGCAGAAAATAAGAGTGTACGAAAAGTGAAATCTAAATTTTTGGTAATTGTTAGAAATAAGGAGCTGAAATTTTGCTGAAAGCTAGACCGGGGACGCTCGGCAATGGTAAAAAAGGTATTTAGGGGTGCGAACCCTAAAATGAGACAGAACCTTAGTTTTATTGAGCGCTGTCTATCGTATCTCAGTTTTTCTAGGATATTTTTATTACAGCTGCTAAGAACCTTGTGGTCTGCTAACTGAGGCTGTCTTAAATTAAGTTTGGTTTTTTTGCTCAAAGAAGGATTCCTTAGGCCACAGATGTATTTACGTTCTTTCTTCGTTAGCGAAGATTTTGTAGATTTCTTCTTCGTCGTAATTTGCCTGCTTTTTAGTGAAAAGTGAGGATGGAGATGTCTTATTTCTGTTGTCGACTTTTCTTTGTCTGTATTGTCGAGTCTACGAACGAACAGTAAGAAATGGATAGAAAACAACTTTGAGTACAGTTTTGTCACTCTTATAACTAGCTACAAGTAGAGATGAAATTGCCACCTTGCAAAAAAGCGTTTAATTGCAGAGCTTTTTTTTTGCGAAAATAAAAGCTTTTAAGTTTGTATAGTTGTTTTATACAGCAACTCGGGCTGTAAAGTGGGTGGGTGTTGCCCAAGGCTTTTAGAGGTGACGCTGCGGATGAAAATAGGTCAAAAAATTTTTGATGCCTCCTATGCCGGCGTTTCTCCTTTGAAAGTTCCAGATGTTTTGAAATGTACTTCGTTAACCGACACTGCTTAAAAATGAATCAGATGCCACGGAAATAAGGTTGCAGGTTACTTAGCCTCCTTGATCAAATTTCCCAAAGTTGACTAAGTTGTGATGAATGTGTTCTGATGCAGTTTTAAATGTTATAAACTGTCTAGCTGGGAATTTTTTATCGACGGACGAGAAACGCCACTCCTGAAGTTGTTCTGAAGTTTCTGTTTAACGAACGTATTCAAAAGCTCGTATTCAGATGAGATTGAGGCTTAGATAGTGGAGGAAAGTTCTGCTTGGGTATTTATATGTCGATTTTGGATAGATAGTACTGCAATGTTCTAGTTCTTTGTTTAATTTGTAATTCTTTGGTCAAGTTGTTATGAAATTCTTTTTCTACATTTTTAGCCCATACACTGGTTTAAAGTTTAAAATAGTTGTTTCTTCTTCAGCTTCAAGCTTCTAGGGGTTTCTTCGGAGGGTTTGTTCAGTCTTATTGTCCCAAATCACGCATAAATATTTTGTATGTAAAAGTATGAAACTTTTTCTACCAGTTTATTTCAATCTTTAAGCATACTGACTCTAGTAACTTTTCTGGAAGCACTGCACTTACCAAAATTTTATTGTTTCAAGTGATTTTTGATTAGAAAACTAAAGCCATCTCAACAGTGATCTTAAAACGCCTGATTTTTGTGTAACATCAGTTTTACACTACACTGTTAGTCACTGGTGACGATGTTAGTTTTTTGCAGATTTATGGCTAAAAAGAAGCTAGTACTATTCTTACTAAGCTAGTGTTATCGCAAATAGCTGTTTCGAGGGGTTCATGGGCTTCTTTCTTCCTGGAGCGCTGAAAATTGTGTCATAAGTCCATTGGCGATGGAGGCCTATCAAGGAGCTAGCGAAGAATTAGCTCGTCTAGAAGCGGCAGCTAATGTTTTTCTAGTGGGCGTTGGTCTTACATCTTCGTCTGTACAGCATATACCTTCAAACTAACGAGTATTTTGTGGAAACACTGATAGGATTTTATTTCAGGCTCCTCCGTCTCAAATTTCCGGCGAGTCACGAAAAGAAGCGGAGGCTTTGTTCATAACGCTACGTTCCAGTCGTATCCCACCAGCTCTGTGCAGATACATTTTAGGTCTCTTGATAGTTTGTCAAGTTTTATTTTTTTTCTACTTTTTTCAGTGTAATGAAGCCTGATGTATGGGGGGTTTCTACCTAGTAAAAAGTCCAAACAAGAGTGAAGGTTATTTTGAAACTGGTTATTTTCTTTCTTCTTCTAGAATCGTGAGTTTTTATTTTTTGGTTAAGAGGATTTATTTTATTTGTAGTAGTGCATTATTTTTGGAATTAATCTTTTGTTAGTCCCTTGTAATCATTTTTACAGTTACTGCGGTTATATGCTTCTCACTTTCGTTTACTGCTTGAATCCTAGTGGCTGCTTGTTAAAGTTTTTAAAATTGTCTATTCTAGAAACGTCACGTAATAGTTTCGTTCTGTTTGAAATTGCGCAGTTGATCGGCACAGTTTTGCTCAAGGAGTGGACAACAACTGATAAGTCTATTATTGAAGACGCTTTCAAGTTTCTTCTGAAATTCGCCGCCGAAAAGCCAGAGTTCGTAATTATTTTTTCAGCTCTCACTAATTCAATTACATAATGATATCTTTTTTAGCTTACCTAACTTTGTCAGAGCAGAAGTACTTCACTCATGTTCAAAACTGTTTAAGCGAGGAATATTTGACGGCAAGTGTGGAGGTCCAGATGAACTTTGCTCACTCGTTGCACAACTTTTGTCGAGTGAAGATGAACGTTCAGTAGGTTTTTTAGCGATGTAATTTTAATGTATAACATTTCGGCACGCTTTAGTTACTTCTCGTTCTAAACTTTTTGGAAAAAAGATTGCTCATTTCTACTTCTGAAAGAGTCTTTTTCCTGTTTACTGCAGGGATGAATTGCAATACTTTCTGATAAGACCTGCTTTAAAGTTGGGTAATTTGACCATTTGGCTCTGATTTTTAATAATATCTTGTACGTTGCTATTTATGTACTGACTGCAGCAGTATTTAATATTCTGATAAAAATCTTTTTTTTTCAAATGAAAATATGTTAGTTAATGTTGTATCTATTTTGAAGCAAACTTTTGGTTGTGAGATCGTAGACGCTGTTGCCACTGAATTTTCCTCGTCATGGAGAGGAGCCAGTTTTGGGATTACATGGGATTTTAATTTCCATGCGAAGAAGGAGTTTGAGGTATAAAATAAAAATTAAGTCATTGAACATCTAAATAGTGGGTTCCTGTCAGCATTTTTAGGCAAACGGTTTGAGGCAGTTGTTTGAACTTTCATTTCGAACTCTTCATTGCATTGCGAACGATGCAACTTTTGACGCTGTAAACCATGTATGTTATATTTGGCACACAGTAACCGTCTTCTTGAATGTTAAGGAAAACGTTCACTTTTTGTCTTTTCATTCATTTACTTGGAAGAAAATTTACAGTGCAATCTCTGTGACAAGTTTCTACGCCTGGCTGAGTCTGTTCTATCGTGGAATTTTTCTTCTCGCATATATTCTTCGTCTCTCAATTATTACAGTGAGCTGAACTCCAGCGCCTCATTTCGACCACCTAGGTCGTGGGGCCATATTTTCCAGAGTGGTGAAGTACTGGATCTTTTCTTCAAGGTACGATTCTTGTTAAAGTCCCAGTTGTCTATGCAAACGTAGGTTTCATCCTGTAGGAATAGTTCTTAAATCGTCAATAGAAATTAAAGTTACCAATGAATATTGCTTATTGAATATAGCTAGGGCGAGTAAATCTGTTTTCTGTTTTGGATTACTATACAATTTTTTAAGAACTTTTTGTTCCAATTTAAAGAAAAAAAACTTTTGAATGCTTACACTTGTTTTTTAACTTGCCTGTATGATGGTATATTAAAACACGGTTTTTGTTCTTCTCTTCATTTGATCAATATTTACCATAGTAGTCGGTGTTAAGGTTTCTTTTATGACATTTCTCAGATCTTGTGCCAAAATCTTATTTTCAGAAAAATAAATTGGAAAACAGTAACTTGTTAATTTTACTTTGTTTTTGAAAGGGCACTTCAAGCAGTTTTCCTAATAAATTCCTCTCAAAGATAAGTTTGAGCACGAAAATTTTTTGATTTCAAACTTGAACTGGTTTTCACAAAAACACATTAGTAAGCTTTTGAGCATGGCTTCTGGACACATATATCTTTTTTCTCTTTTGTTTCTAGCTCCACTCTACCGTGAGAAATAACGAAAATCTGTGTAAACGCTCAATCAACGTTTTGGTGCAGCTTTCATCACTTACTGGGGAGGTATTTGAAAACTCCGCTAGTGGCTCCACAGACAGATACTTAACTGCTTTCATCAAGAATTTTTTGGATGTTTTTAGATAGTAAATATTTTATTGAGTTCTTTCTCTTATTTTGCTGCACATTTTTCAATAAATATTTGCCATTCAAAAACGACAGAGTTTATACAGAGTTCATTATATGAAAGTAAGAATAAGAATCTTATTATAGCGGCCCATTGGAACATGAATTCAGCGGTTTTTGCCTGATAATTTATAAGTTGTTGACTTATCAGAAGATTGCTGCTTTTGTCAGAGTGGAAGAACAATTTTTGTCTGCTTTTCTTTCATTTATTGTTGGATATGCAGAAACTTTTGCTCCAGTTGCAATGCAGAAAGCTATGGTAAGTTTTTAAGAGTAATTCATTTGCTACTGAGTGATTTTTAGCGATTAACTCGTCACTAGTAAGTAACTTCCAACATTATAATAATTTTACAGCATAAACACTTGAAGCTTTTTTTTCGTAAAACATTCTTATACCAGCACCAGCTGAGTTTCTATGTATTTATATCTTCGTAAGGGCTGAAAGTTATCCTGGTTTTCATTATCTATCGCTGGTCTTAGGATGACGATGATCACACCTTTCGTGAAGGGCTGCTTCAAGTGTATGAAGCATGGTCTGTTTTAGTCAGAGCTGCACAGCGAAATCAGTTTGGCTGCGACTTACATGGCTTGACCCTCCGAATACTTTCTTCATTTGTTCGAACTTTACTAGCTCCTCCGCTTGGAAATCGCGGCAAGGTTAGTTTTTGCAATGACCATCGGTTTTGTTCCTTTGAGACCTGAACTGGTTCATTAGATTTGAAAATTAAGTACTGCCAACTGTTTTTATCTGGCTATCATGCACGTTCTAAAACTGCAAGAAGGCTATTGCTTTTACACTAAACAATATTTTTTTCAGTTGTCAGATGAAAACTATGATGAAGATGTCGAGCAAGAAGACAGAGTCGTGTATGCTGATATTCTCTCAGTTGTCGGACAGTTTGCCATTTTTTGTGTAGATGAGTTTCTTCCATTAATAATATCGTAAGTAATCTTTCTTATTGGTTTTTTTGAGCGCAAGATTTCCTCTTTTTTTAGTGCAGACATAAGTTTTTTAGTTGTTTCCAGCAAAGAGCGAATGACTTTATAAATAACTTAACTCAGAACTCACTCTGTTCACTTCCTGAGTGGCGAGAAGACATGCATTGGTTGTTTTTGCTCATAGGTAAAGCATAACGTAGTCTGGTCTTTTATTTTAATTACGCTTAAATTCGTTTGCGCAAAAAATACCAACGTCTGTCATGACATGGAGCTTTGAAATCATTTTTTTGTTAGATTTTTGGCATTAGATGATTTGTTAAAAATGATTTTGAATGCTCGGAAATTTTTGTATTCTTAATTTTGCAAAAACTGAAGGTTACTGATGAACGACTTCATAGTTTGTGAATTTTAGGGTTTTCGTTCACTGAGGAGGACATAGATAGTTCTTCTCAGCTGCCAGCTCAGCTTATGGATTACTGTATGGAGAAGGCGAAGGCCGAAAATCTTGAACTGAGCCAGGCTAATTTGTATATTGCCGAGTGTATAAAAAACCCTCGTTTTTTCAGCCACACTGTTAAAATTTGTCCTTTAATGCAGTAAGACTTCTTGCCATTATGGGTTATTGAAATATGCAAATTTTTGATAGTATTTCTTGGATTTTTTTTTGTATTTGCCTTTGTAGATATTTGAGGTTAACTTTATTGAACTGCGTATGTATTTTTTGTTACTACACGTCTTTTGCAGCTTAGTTGGGATGATCTTTGCTTGGAATTCCTTGGATCATATATTACTTTCCGAAAAGGGAATAGAGGAAATTAGTCCAGAACTTTCAAGAAGTGGTTTATGGTGTTGCAGAAGGTTTATTTCGGCACTTCGTGCAAATGTCGAAACCGACAGTGAAGATTCGTATGGCATTCCTAAGCTTGAAGGACAGACCGAGCTTTCTCGTTTACTCATAGAGTTCACACTTCATCGAACATTTACTGTTTTAAATCGAATGTCAGGAGAAAAAAGGTAACATAACGATTTTTTTTTTATAATAGTAAAATCTGTTGCAGCAGTCCCGTATGGCACTCAGTTATAATGATATTCTTTTTCGCTCCCACATTAGCGTTTCTTTAATTCGTGCCGATAAATGGCCTACATTGATTGCTGTAAAGGCTATATACTTTTTTTTCTATTTGATGCGAATTGTACTTTTGAAAAATGTTTCAGGCTCTGTGTGGACGCGGTCAATCTTCTTGTTGCTCTTGCTGAGACTCGAGAAACAGAGCTGATTTCCACAGATCTTTTATATGAGTGTCTGGCTGGAGTACAGTTGGACAGGTTGCCGGCTCGTCGGGCTCTCGTCCGTGCACTTGTGTTAATCAGTGTTTTTTCAAATGACGAAGCTTTACAAAAAAAAATGTGTGATACGGTGCGTTTTTTTAAAATGAAGTAATATCTTATCATTCATTTATCTGTTTTTCTTGTGACATTTTAATGGAAACTTGCTTCTCTATTATCTTCTCCAGTTGCATAGTAATACAAGTAATACATGAGCTGTCTATAGTTACTACATTCAGAACTGCAAAAAGTGATAAAAATCGATCGTAAGTTTGAAGTTAACTTTTTTTGTTTAGTATCTATAACATTAACAGGCCTGTGAATTTTTAGCACTCTTACAGATACTGCGTAGACACTCGTTTCCTTATAAAATCACAAGTCATTAATGTATTTTCCTCCAAAAAAGAACAATATCTTTGTAGGTTTGAAAAAATCATGGCAGTTTCGCTTGAAGGGATATTTAGTATTTGATATATGCATAGCTTTACGAAGCTTTTTTTGTGTTAGTAGATAGCACTCATAACTCACGAGAAATGAGTCTATTCATTTGTCAGTTACCTTAGAACCTGATTGTTGTTATCTTAAAAACCTTTTTAGGTTTTACACCCTCTTTTTACAAAGTTTAATGAACTGTCCGGGAATGCGCCTGCACATGAGTCCGATATCATCGATTTTCTGGACTGTTTTTGCGGCGTTGCGAGTGCAGCAGATATCCACTCATCCCATTTTCTTTTTCGTAAGTTTTTGAAGGGAATTATTAAGCTTTATTCGAAATTTTCTTGCATACTTCTAATTTTTGTGGCTAAAAGTTTAGCCCTTTGTTTTTCTTGTTTTACTCTTCTTTTGTCTTTTAATTGCTATTTTGAAGGGTTCCTTTCCCCTATACTTATTCGTTGTGTGCCGCTTTTATCAAGCAATTCACAAGCTCTTACTAATGCTGTACTAGAACTCTTTAGCGTAGTTACACGTAAACTGGCAGTTTACATAGATGAAAAGGAGGATACCATTTTATTGTATCAGGTAACTCTTTTTACTTCAATTCTTAAAAGGGATAAAATCTTTCTAATACTTTCCAAAATAGTTCGAGCTAGTTTTGACCTAAAGCCTTAATTGCTTTCACAGCGGTTAATTTTTCTTTTTTTTCACATCTTTTTTTCTAAGTCTTTTTGTGGTCAGTCATTATTTCAAGGCATGTCTTGTTCATGTTTTTATACTTGCTGAGAGTTCAAGATATCTTGGTTTTCTATCTACTTTTTGCCCCTTAACGCTTCATTATTATTTAGACTCTCCTGGACCTTTTGAGTGTATATCAGCGAGATCAAATGTGTAAATATCGAACTGTGGTAATTGATGAGGAGGAAAAAGCGGGGGATTTGGTGCTGTTTCTAGATATTTTGGCAAATATCATGAGCAAAGACCTTCTTCTTTCAGCGGTTTATCAATGTAAGATTCCTCCAGAACCATTTTCAAATATTTCTGGAACTCTTCGTTAATATGTAGAAGCTTACTTTTCTCAGCAACTTTAATAAAATCTTGGAAAGAGTAAAATCGAGATATAGAATAGGAGAAGTGTATTGTGTTCATGATTCCTTATTAATTATTCAGTGAGCACTCGGCTTTTTTGTAATGTGTAGTAGATTCAAAAGTTCAGGACCACTTTGGCATGCAGTTCCTGTAGAATACTTTGAACAAAATAAAATAGAATTACGTTTACTATAAACAAAATTGGAGGTCAACATAGCTGAGGAAAGTGGTGCTTGTGACAGTCTGGTTTTGAAGCACTTGGATTTATAATTTTAGATGAGGAGGTCTTTGACTACGGGTTTAAAGCAGCTTTAACCGGTCTTGAAATGTTAATACCTTTATTAGAGGACGGCATGCTACAGTATCCAACGCTCTGCACAAGGTACTTGAAGTTTGATGTGATTTTTTTGTTATAATTAAGAGGTATTATTTTTTGAATTGATTGTTTTTCACGCGCCGTCAAAATTTTTCTAATTCAAAACTTTTTCTCCCAGATTGGATTTGTGTTTGAAATAATTTCATCATATTGTTATTACCAGATTGCGTAATTCTTTTTTTTGCATAAAGATCTTTCTTTGGTTTTTGAAGTGCAAGAATTTTGTTATCATCAGAAAATCTTCATTTCAATAAGTTTTCTATGATATTCAAAGTTTTCTCATTTTTCTGGCTTCTGACAGCATCTGCAGTTAGCTGATCAATTGCTCGTGTGAATGAGGCTTCTCCATTTTCAGGTTTTACCGTCTGATATTGTATTTTTCTGAAATGGCCCCCAGACGGATAAGCCAAATGCCGGAAAACATGATTACTTCTATTATTGAACTTCTACGTATTGGTCTGCAGTCGCAGTTTGGTGAAGAAGTAAGGTTTCACATGTTTTTGTTTTTGAAAAATCACCTAACTGAAACTTTGAAGGTTGCTGTAGTGTCTGTGGAAACAATAAATCATCTTGCAACGTTCTGCTCAGAAGATCCACATACGAACTCTTTCATTGTATCGCATCTTTCGTCTCTTATCGAGGTTGAAAATTCAAATTAAATATTATGAGAACTATTTGGTTTTCGAACGGTGCAGTGTGCATTAATGCTATTTGGTTCTCCTTAGGTGTTAGGGAAAATGGTGGCGGTTGAGGTTTTTTTAATTACATTTTTACTATATTTATGTTAATTTTTAGTTGCTCTTATTTTTTT